AGGCAGAGGGAGAGGGAGAAGCAGGCTCCCCACGGAGCAAGGAGCCTGATGCTGGATTCAATCCCAGGACGCTGGGATCATGATCTGAGTCCAAGGCTGGCGCTTAACCATCTGAGCCACTCAGGCACCCCTACCATGTGTTGTTTTGTAGTCTGACTTTTACCCTTAAATTTTATAAAACAGGCACTTCCCTATGTTGTTAAACATATATTTCTTTATTATATACTGTATGTTCTTCTCTGTTTATAAGTTGTCTTTTTATTTCACATTGGTAGGGCAAGACATAGGGGAATTTTTTTTTTCCATCAAAAGAAGCTTTCATTCTAATTCAGCAAAAAGCTATCATTGTTCTTGGTGACAGCATTTGGTGCTATGATCTGGTTTTATTTACCCTCAAATTATATAAACATTGATCTATATATTCTAACAGCACTGCCTTTTAAAAGATGCAAAATTTGGGGGGCACCTGGGTGGCTCAGTCAGTTAAGCTTCTGACTCTTGGTTGCAGCTCATGTCTTGATCTCATGGGTCTGAGTGAGGTTGGCTTCGTGCTCAGAAGGGAGTCTGCTTGAAGATTCTCTCCCTCAGGTGCCTGGGTGGCTCAGTCGTTAAGCGTCTGCCTTCAGCTCGGGTCATGATCCCAGGATCCTGGAATTAAGCCCCTAGTAGGGCTCCCTGCTTCTCCCTCTCCCATTTGTTCTCTCTCAAATAAATAAACTCTTAAAAAAAAAAATTTAAAAAAAAGGGATGCCTGGGTGACTCAGTAGGTTAAGCGGCTGGCTACCTTCGGTCCTGGGATCGAGTCCCACATCGGACTCCCTGCTCGGCAGGAAGACTGCTTCTCCCTCTCTCTCCCTCTGCTTGTGCTCTCTCTGTCAAATAAATAAAATCTTTAAAAAAAAAAAAAAAAAGATTCTCTCCCTCCGGCCCTCCCCACACTTGTGCCCGTGTGCTCGCTCTCTCTCAAACTTTTTTTTTAAAGATTTTATTTATTTATTTGATACAGAGAGACACAGCGAGAGCGAGAGAGAACACAAGCAGGGGGAGTGGGAGAGGGAGAAGCAGGCTTCCCGCCGAGCAGGGAGCCCGATGCGGGGGCTCGATCCCAGGACCCTGGGACCATGACCTGAGCCAAAGGCAGACGCTTAACGACTGAACCACCCAGGCGCCCCTAAATAAATCTTTTTTAAAAATGCAAATTTTTTATTCTCTTTCTGGAAATTTTTTATGTGCATGTCAGATAGCCATCCAAATTTGTTTTCAAAATACCCAGTGCCCTGTCACTGTTTTGAAATAATAATTTTATTATATACCATACCATTTTGTATATATGTTTATGTTTGTTTTATTTCTGGACTTCCTCTTCGGTTCCACAAAGACAAGGAGACTGACATGAACTCAAATTTTCAAAAGACCACTCCGGCCCCTGTAAGGAAAATAAATGTTAAAGGGGAAATATTTTGATCTCATGGAAAAGTTATAACTTAAGCAACTGTAAGACCATTTGGAAGCTATTATAGAGCAAGGGATAGTGATGGCTTGAACTACTAGTTTCTTAGCAGTGCAGGCCATAAAAAGTAGTTCTATTTCAGATATATTTTGAAGGTAGAGCTGACAGGATTTGTTTATAGGTGTAAAATGTGACACAAAGAGAAGAGTCAACCAGGTGAATGGTTGTGGCCTTTACTAAAAGGGAGAATACTAAGGAAGGGGAAATGTGGGGAGTAGGTTAAATGAGAGATACCTATTACAGTGCAGGTGTCAGGTGGGGAGTTGGATATAGTAAATATTTTTCTTCTCTATGATTCTTTGTAGTTTAATACAAATAAAGTTGCAAAAGAAAAAAGCAATCTCTAAGGAGAATAAAAAGTTTGTGATCTTTGAACTAGGAATTCTACATCTGAGGTTTTTTTCCCTGAGGTTCTTTTTTTAATGGAAATATTTATAACGTGAAAACAAGTTTATGTATGCAGATAGTAACAGCTGATATTTATTATTGAGTGTTTTCTACTTCCTTGGCACAATTAAGGGCTTTAGATGTATTAACTCATTTAAACATCACAGTTCTAGGATCAAGGTACTATTATTATCATCCCCGTTGTACAGATGAAAAATGAGGAACTGAGAGGTTAGACATCTTGCCCAAGGTCACACACAGCTAGTTAGTGGTGGTGGAGGAGGGAGTGTAGAAAGGGAGAAAAGAAAGGGAGTAAAGCAGGTTCCCGAATTCAGAGCAACTAGTTATTGTTGACCGCCTAATGTCGTAGACAGTCTAAACGTGCCAGTGCATCATGGTGTATAATGCTAATTGAATTAGGAAAATACTATGAGCCGGAAATTGTCCTGAGCTCCTTGCATGCATTCAATTAATTTAATCTCTCGAGCAATCCTACAAGTACTACTATTTTATTGGTTCACATTTTACAGGTGAGGAAATCGAGGGACAAAGAAATTACGATAAGCAGCTCAGAGCCAGAAATCCAGTAAGTGGCAACGCTGGAGCTGAAATCCATAGTTCTGTATTCCTTCCATAAGCATTTTGTGCCAAGTGCAGTACTCTGTGCTAGGAATAGCTAGAGAAAGAAGACTTGGTCCCCGTTCTCCGTGAATTTGAGCAAACAAAAGCAGATCGAACCATTCTTTCGATCACTTTGCCTTCGGAGGTCCCAACTGAGCCTGTGAGCCTTGCCTGTGTCACGCTACTTTACGCTGAAGGTGCGGCGCTCCGCCGGCGCCTGTGGGCAGAGGGGAACCCAGCGGTTGGAAAGCCTCCGCAGCCTTCCAGAGCACCATATTGGGCCGCTCGGGCGGGTCCTCGCCGCCAGCGTCGGGGCCCCCAGGGCCGCCTCTGGCGGCGGGCGCGTGCGCTGAGCTGCCCTCTGGGAAGCCTCCCGGCAGCGCGCGACCCGAGGCAGCGGCGCGCGCTCGGCGAATCCTGGCCCCCTGGGCGCGCCGGGATCTCGCCTGCAGCCCCCCGCTGCGGGATTGGGCGGCTCCCCAGCACCGCCCTAGCCTACTAAGCCGAAACGCGCCCGGCCGCTCCCAGGGCTTCTTAGATTCCCGCGGACTGTGGCTTACAACTTCCTCCGGGCTCTGACGGCGGCCTCGCCCCGGAGGACGGGGAGGATTTACCTGTAAGGCCCCGGACGCATCGATCTGCGCATTTTCCCCGACTGGTTTCAAGAGGAGCACCTGCAACGCCGGTGGTGTTTGACCTACCCCTAGAGCAGGCGTCAGAAGATCTTTGGTGAGTGCTTGGATGGGGTCGCCCCCACCAGGCCTCCTTAGGCGCTCTCCCTCTCCTCCGGCCACCTTTGGTATTATCGCTCAGCCAGCTCGGGCCTAGCCACTCCGTGCCCCCAACTCGCCGCGCGCATAACCCAGGCACCAGATTCCACACTTCTAGCAATGGACCGAGCTCCTGCTGCAAGCGCAAATTCTGGACCCCAAGGTTACGGCTAGGATCTCCATCTTCCGACCGCCCTCAAGGAAAAGGTTTAAACCATTATGCTCTGCAGAAGAAGGCCAACTCCTCATCCTTGAGTCGCCTGAGGATAGGAGGGACCGCTGTGGGTCCCGGGCGGCTGGGCGAGACGGAGTACTAGGGCAGGGTGGGGATGGATCCAGGCACGGGCCTGGGTGGGGAGTGCAGTTTGCCTTTCCGCAAGGCCGCGGGAGCTTTCTAGAGCCCGAGTCCCGCCCACTCTGTATGGAGAAATCGCAATCCTTCGGGCCCTCAAGATTTTAGCGAGGTTAGATGGAGGGGGAGAAATCGGTGTCACCCTCTGCATCCCCTGTACCCGCCTAACCTCAAGGGGTTCCCAACACATGCCCAACTTAGCCCCAAGAAAAAAGAGCAGGGCAGGCTCCCTCTGGTTCCACTTAGGATGGTTCCAGGATTGTGGGCGGCCCTGTGAACTACTGAAAATCCAGTTGTATTTTTTTCCTTTCAGAGGCAGAGAAGAAGCTGATGGGATCTATGAGGATCACTATATTAGCTGCTGGTGAGAAAACTCTAGGATGTCAGGGCCTTTCCTTAATCTGAATGCTCACCTCAACACAAACTGAGGGTGGGTGGGCCGTGTGGGTGCACAAGTGTGGGCACCAAGAGGCCTAGAATCATTTTGGAGTTCTGTCACAGAATGTGCCTGTCCTGCTTTGGTGGGGATAATTGGCCCTCTCCTCTTTCTGAGTTCTTGGCTGAGACCCCTGTAATAAAAGATTAACAAGAGAAAGCTATCCAGGGAAAAATAAGCAACACTCCCCGCCCCCCCCCCTTAGGATTCAGGTTTAATGCAATTTTAATAGGGAAAGAGAAGGAATGTAAGCCTCTTAGGGGAGAGTTAAGTCATTTTTAGGGAAGATGGATGGGCACTTCGAAGAATAGATGGGAGGTACGATAATTTGTGACAGTTTGTCTGGGTGTCATGTCCATTTTTATCAATCTTACCTGGTTGAGGAGCCTTGAAAAGAGGGGATTTATGCCAGTTGAGTTCCAGGCAGAAAAGAGGAGTTCAGAGAAAGACTCTCCCTGCATTTGCTGTTTTTCAAGCACCTACAACTCAAAATATATCAAAGCAGCTTATTTGGGGATGGCACGTACTGAGCTCCTGCAGTCATTTTGGGGTGTCATTCTATGTTACCTTTCATTTGCTATTAATAGAAACTTGTTTTAAAGATCACAAATGGGGGAGGGGTGCTTGGGTGGCTCAGTCGGTTAAGTGTCTTCTGCCTTTGGCTCAGGTCATGATCCCAGAGTCCTGGGATCCAGCCCCACGTGGGATTCCCTGCTCAGTGGGGAGAGTCTGCTTCTCTCTCTCCCTCTGCCGCTCCCCCTGCTTGTGCACGCTGGCACACGTACTGTCAAATAAATAACTAAATAAATAATTAAAAAAAAAATCACAAAAATACAATTGCACTTCTTTAATACTGAGTGAGAAGATAACTCTTGTTTTGCCAACATACTTATTAGCACAGATATTTTGGACTGCAGTTCTTCATGAAATATATAATGTAATATAATTTTAGAACATTTCCATTACCACCAAAAGGAAACTTTCTGCCCATCTGCAGTCACTCCGAGCTCTATTCACACGCAATTTTTCCATCTCCATAAAGATTTTATATAAAAAATTTTTTTATATAAAAAAGATTTTATATATCATATAATACTTATCTTTCTGTGTCTGGCTTCTTTCATTTAGTGTAATGTTTTCAGGGTTCATCCCTGCTATGGCATTCAACAGTATCCTCCCTTTTAATTGCCAACCAGTGTTTCATTATATGGATATAGTACATTTTGCTTATACATTAACTAATTAATGGACATTTGGGTTGTTGTCATTTGGATGTCATGAGAAAATGCTATGAACATTTGCTTTTAAGATTTTGTTTTCATTTCTCTTGGATATCCGGGAATGGTCATGAAGAAACAGGCAAACGTTCCCAAGGTGGCTTTTGACATTCCCACCAGAAGTGTATGATGAGTGTTCTAGTTTCTCCACATCCTCAATACTTGTAATTGTCTTTTCTTTTTAAGATTTTATTTATTTATTTGAGAGAGAGCAAGAGTGCGGAAGAGAGGGAGAAGCAGGCTCCCCGCCAAGCAGGGAGCTCAAGGACATGGGGCTCCATCCCAGGACCCTAGAATCATGACCTGAGTGTAAGGCAGACATTTAACTGAGCCACCCAGGTGCCACTGTAATTGTCTTTTTGGTTATAGACCTTCTTGGTGCCGTAATGCTATTTTGTGCTTTTAATTTGCTTTTCCTTAATAACTAATGATATAGAGGATCTTTTTATGTGCTTATTGACCATTAATATGGTGAAAGATCTATTAATATCGTTTATCCATTTTTTTCTTTTATCCACTTCTAATTGGTTGTCTTAATGAGTTGTAAGATATATATATATACACATATACATATATATGTATATATCCTTTGTAGAACATATGATTTGCAAATAATTTCTCCCAATGTGTGGCCTGTCTCTTCACTTTGTTTATGGTGTCTTTTTTTTTTTTTTAAGATTTTATTTATTTATTTGAGACCGAGAGAATGAGAGAGAGAGAGCACATGAGAGGGGGGAGGGTCAGAGAGAGAAGCAGGCTCCCTGCCGAGCAGGGAGCCCGATGTGGGACTTGATCCAGGGACTCCAGGATCATGACCTGAGCCGAAGGCCGTTGCTTAACCAACTGAGCCACCCAGGCGCCCTTGATGGTGTCTTTTAAAGTACAGAGTTTAATTTTGATGAACTCCAACTTACCAACTTTTTATCACTTTTGCTTTTGGTATTATGTCTAAAAAAAATCTTTGCCTAGGGGTGCCTGACTGGTTCAGTTGGTAGAGCATGTGACTCTTTTTTTTTTAAAGATTTTTTTTATTTTTTATTTATTTATTTGAGACAGAGAGAATGAGAAAGAGAGCATATGAGAGGGGGGAGGGTCAGAGGGAGAAGCAGACTCCCTGCCGAGCAGAGAGCCCGATGCGGGACTCCAGGATCATGACCTGAGCCGAAGGCAGTCGCTCAACCGACTGAGCCACCCAGGCGCCCGAGCATGTGACTCTTGATCTCAGGGTTTTGAGTTTGAGCCCCATTTTGGGCTTAGAGCTTACTTAAAAAAAAAAATCTTTGCCTAAACGAATGTCATGAAAGTTTACTTTTATGTTTTCTAAGAGTTTTTATAGTTTTAGCTCTTACATTCAAGTCTGCAGGCTTTTTCCAAATTAATTTTTGTGTATATTTTAAGTTAAGGTAAGGGTCTAAATTCATATTTTGAGTTTTCTAATCTATGCATGAAATACCTCATTTATTTAGATACTTAAATTTTTTTAAAGATTTTTTTGACAGAGAGAGAGAGAGCAAGTACAAGCAGGGGGAGCTGCAGAGGCAGAGGAAGAAGCAGGCTTCCCACCAAGCAGGGAGCCCAACATGGGGCTTGATCCCAGGACTCTGGGATCATGACCTGAGCCACCCAGGGCGCCCCTAGATATTTAATTTCTTTAAGCAATGTTTTGTAGTTTTCAGTATACAAGTCCTGCACTTACTAAATTTATTCCTAAGTATCTTTTAATGCTCTTATGACTGGAATTTTCTTAATTTCATTTTTAGGTTTGTTGCTAGTATATAGAAATATAATTGACTTTCGTCCATATCGATCTTGCATCTGTAACCTTATTGAACTCATTTTTTATAGTAGTAGTAGTGTGTGTGTGTGTGTGTGTGTGTGTGTATTCCTTAGGATTTCCTACGATATAAAATCTTTTTGTTCGTGAGCAAAGACAGTCTTACTTTTCCGGTATGCATGCCTTTTCTTTCTTTTTGTTGCCTGATTGCACTGGCTAGAACTTTCAATACAATGTTAAATAAAAGTCAGAGCAGCCATCATTATCTTGTTCCCGATCTTTGGGGGGAAAAAAATCAGTGTTTCATCATTACTTATGATATATGATGCTAGCTGTGGATTTTTTGATAATGGCTTTTATTAGGTTGAGAAAGTTCCCTTCTATTCCTAGTAGTAGTCTTATCATGAATGGATGTTGGATTTTGTCAAATACATTTTCTGCATCTGTTGAGATAATCATGTGTTCTTTATTCTATTAACATTGTATATTACATTAATTGACTTTTGAAAAATGTTTTTATTTATTTAAGTAATCTCTACTTCCAATGTGGGGCTTGAACTTAAGACCTGGAGATCAGGAGCTTCACGCTCCTCTGACTGAGTCAACCAATTGCCCCTACATTAATTGACTTTTGAGATAAATCTCACTTGCTCGTGGTGTATAATTTTTCAGTGTTGCTGGATTTATTTGATTTGCTAGTTTCCTGTTGAAGATGTTTGCATCTATATTCATGAAGTATATTGGTCTGTAGTTTTCTTGTGAGATTTTTTTTTTTTTTTAAAGATTTTATTTATTTATTTGACAGACACAGTGAGAGAGGGAACACAAGCAGGGGGAGTGGGAGAGGGAGAAGCAGGCCTCCTGCGGAGCAGGGAGCCCGATGCGGGGCTCCATCTCAGGACCCTGGGATCATGACCTGAGCCCAAGGCAGATGCTTAACCGACTGAGCCACCCAGGCACCCCTCTTGTGAGATTTTTGATTATGGTACCAGGGTAATGCTGGCCTCGTAGAATGAGTTGGGAAGCATTCCTTCATCATCTTTTTTTTTTTTTTTAAGAGTTTGCTTAAGTATCGGTTGGTATGGATTCTCTTTTAAATATTTGGTAGAATTCACTAGTAAAATAATCTGAACTTGGTCTTTTCTTTGTGTGAAGTTTATTTTTTTTCCATTACTAATTTGGTCTCTTGTTATAGGTTTATTCAGATTTCGGGGTGCCTGGGTGCCTCAGTTGGTCAGTTGAGCGTCTGCTTTCGGCTCAGGTCATGATCCCTTGAGTCCTGCATTGGGCTCCTTGCTCAGTGGGGAGCCTGCTTCTCCCCCTGGTTGTGTGCATTCTCTCTCTCTCTAACAAATAAATAAAATCTTAAAAAAAACCTAAACAGATTTTGTTTATCCTGAGTCTGTATCAGCAGTTTGTATTTTATTTATTTTTAAGTAATCTCTGTGCCCAATGTGGGGCTCACACTCATGACCCTGAGATCGAGTCACATGCTCTACCAACGGAGCCAGCCAGGTGCCCCAGCAGTTTGTAGTTTTCTAGGACTTTTTCCATTTCATCCAGGTCACTTAATTTGTTGGCATATACTTGTTCATAGTATTCGCTTACAATTATTTTTATTTCTATAAGGTCAGTGATAACATCCCTTCTTTAATTTCTGATTTTAGTAATTTTTTTTTTAATATTTTTTTCTTTTCAAATTTTTATTTAAATTCCAGTTAACATACAGTGTAATTGGTTTCAGGGGTAGAATTCAGTGATCATCACTTACATACAACACCTAGTGCTCATCACAAGTGCTCTCCTTAATACCCATCACCCATCTAGCCCATCCCCTACCTGATTTTAGTAATTTAAATTTTATTCTTTGTCAGTCT